CTATCGCCACGTGCGTCCCGGGGCGGATACCGTCGCGATTATCCTGAACGAACTGTCAGGCCCCGAACCCATTGTCACACGCGTGCGTGTCCACACTCGTGTAAAAGTCGGGTGATGAGTAGGAAAACGAAGAACTCACGTCAGGTAAATGACATTTCTTAGCGCTTAGGATTTCACCAAGATATATAACGTTATACTTAAAAATATCCATTATAACGAAATTAACATTCTGACGTATCATTTTCTTTATTATTCACATCTGCAGAAACACGATACTATTTCCTTCACTTACATTTTTATTAGCAGTTGATGTTGAAGGGACAAGCTTTGTAAGCATATGCTAATCATTTAATTAAGATACGTTTAGCTGGTTAATTCTTTAATACATTTTTACACTTAATAATAATTAAATCATCAAAAAACAACTTTTTAATCGAAAATATCCCCTGCTTTCTTCAACTACTTTGAGATAATACACTCAAGCACAGCAACATCGTCCTTCCTCAACCTAGACCGAAAACCTAAGTTCTGCTGTTGTTCGTTGATGATCTGATGATCATCACTGTTATTCTTTCCGCTTTTACTGCCACTACGTTCGTACATTTCACAATCGTTCGTGCTTTGCTCAGTTTACCGTCACTTCAACGCGAACGCCTCCTGTTTTACTCACGGAAACAATTTCTAAATGTGTCCGACCGCAGGTACTACAACGTATCCATGTCATTTTCTATCCGCTCTCTCTCTTCATAATAATAACTTCTACCGCTAAGCCATCCATCGCTCCTCCAGTTCTCGAGCATCACATTACCAACCTCTATCTCCACCCCCGCATTCTTCTCGGGCCAACGCCAGCTTCGCCGCCTCACACCGACGTTTCTCAATAACAAACAAAACAGTGGTCGACCAGGCGCCGCGCTTTCCTTGTCGCAACCGAGCTCAGGTAATGCCTATAATATTAGCCTCCTCCCCCACCTCACGTCCACTACCCGTACATTCCGAGGCGTACCAAATTGATACGAGATGCGTCTAGGCTCAGTGGATACTGTTTGTATTGTGGATCCGCTATGTTTTTTTTTATTTCGTCCGCTCTTTCGTAGCCCAACTCGCAGTACGTTCAGTAAATTTCGCCACCTGTTGACAGATTAACCATCCGGGCGTAATTGCTGTTTCGACTAGACGTACATGCCGTATGATTTAGAGTTCCAGCCCAAATTCTCCCCGCACGGCCAGGTAAAAGTACAGGCACGCTTCTTAAAAGAACGCCGACAGAAAAAAAGCAGGACGCTCAAATTACAGCTTTTTGGCCTGGTTGGAAAAGGTTACGCAAGTACTTGAGTGCAAACCGGCGAGTACACTCATTCCTTTGTGTTCCTTAGCACTCGTGCAAGGAGGCGGACGAGGCAGAAGAGGCGAAGTGGGGTGGGAGGAAACAAATCAGCGGGACGCTGATTTATCAGCAAATCTTCGGAGCGCTATCAATTATCTTTGCCTGTCATCCGCATAAAGAAGGCCGACTCCCTTGCGAAGCGTGGGCCGAAGGGTGTCTGTTATAATGTGTTTATAAATGCGAACCGCGCGATGCGATTAATACAAGACCCTTCGAGGCGAAACACCTGTTTGCCTTGCGCACTTGTAACGCGCGTTTGGCTTCAGCGAGAAGGAATGCAGGAAGCGGGCGGACGGGCGGGCAGCGGCTGTTCGTCCAGCAGAAGAAGAGACAGCCGTCCGAAGGCCTCACGTATGACGTACGCAGGCAGGACCCTTACGCAGAGTTTGACGAATCATGGCCCCCAAACGATGCCCCCCCCCTTTCCCCGGACGCCCATACTACTAGTTCTCGCCGACGCAGACTGGAGGTTGGTAGCTGTGTGGCTGCACGGGGAGGAGCTCCATAGGCTAAGTAGGCGTCAAGGCCGCGAAGAT